GGGGAGCGCGCGCGCCAGGCCCCGCCCCCGCCCCGCCCCGCCTCTCCCGCTTCCGCCGCCCTCATTGGTCCGTGGTCTCCCCCCTCCTCCCCCGCCTCGCTCCGAAGGGGCGGGGCCGGCCTCCTCTTCCTTCCTTCCTTCCCCTTCCCCTCCGCCCGCCGGCTGACCACGTGCTGGGGGGGGCGGGGGGGCCGTTTCCCGCCTTCGCCCACCCGGCGCGTTCACCCCGCCCCTCGCCGGCGCCTACGGAGAGCGGTGGGGCTCAGCCCGCCCCTCCCGCCAATCGCGCGGCGCCGGCGCCGTTGCTACCCGGGGGCAACCCCTTCCCCTACCCCAACCCAGCCCCGCCCCCTCGGGCTGGCGCATGCGCGGGGCTGCCCCTCGGCCGCCAGGCGGCGCCGCGCGCCTCCTCCCGAGCCACTCCCCCCCTTCACCCTTCCGCCATTTTGGCGTTGAGCGGGTGACTGGGGGCCGCTTCTTCGGAAGGGTGGTCCGGTGGTTTCGCGGCGATAAAACTGGGTTTTAAACGAGTCCGGGGAGAAACGGGTGTTCCCTCGCGAGGTGTGCTTAACTGTTGACACACAGCTCGTTTGTCGGCTTAATGTTTCCCCTTTCAGAATAATGAGAAACGAGCAGTGCACGGTAATCCGTCAAAAGGGCCTGAAATTGCCAAGAAGTCACGGTGGGAGCTTGTTTTCACTCAGGGACATGAGAATCAGATGGCTCCATGCCCTGCCCCTCACCAGCAACGCTACGCCGTTAGCCTCTGGCATCCACCCCCTGCACTGTCTGAGGAGAGGTGTGTGGTGACAAACATAGCCACAAAGCCAGCCAGACGGATCCTGAGCAAAAGGAGGCCAAATGGTTATTTTTGCTAAAACTCTCCAAGTCAGAGGCCATAATACTTACAGCTGTTTGACCGAATTCACCTGAAGACTCTTCTGTGGAGCTGCTGGTGGATGGGGCCCAGCCTGGGGGGGTGCCGTGAAGATCACCTACGAACAACAGACAAACAGCAAAACACAGAAACTCAGTGGCGTGTGGGGCAGCATTGTCAGAGCTGGTCTCTGCCATCAGCACCGTGGGCTGTCCTACGTTTTCTGCCCCAAGATCCTGAGTTTGTCATCTGTGTTCTAATGGGGTTGCTACATGAGTCACGTTTAACATCATGTTTTTAAATGGTTAAACATGGGATCTTTTGTTTAATTCGTGTTAATCTGTATGATCTGTTTGCCTGTGGTTCCACGCTTGGTTACATTGATCCCACTCGAAACTGTAGAGCATGTACCCAAAGAGATAGATTTGGCTTTCATTTACACAGGGACCCTTTATAATGCTCCAGCAGGTCAAGACGGTGGCTCTCTTCTGTTACCAGGGTGTTCAGTGGATGCTGACCTCACTCAGCCTGCTCTAGAGATGATATGCTTTACTCTGGGGAGCTGCCTGTTTTTCTTCTGTGTCAGTTGATAAGCAGAGTCTGGGGCATTCTGTTAAGTGTTTCTACAAGGGCAGTGTGTGTTTGTGTATCTGCAAGTGTATGGCTAGTTGCATGTGCTCTATGGCTTTTTTTCTTCTCATAAAATACTTTGTGAGCGAGCTGCCGACTGTTCTGAATCCAAACTGGCGCAGGCTGGGGCTAAGCACTACTGATAATTTTTTTTCCTCAGGTATCAGACTAGAAATTTGGTTGATTTTCTGCAATTAACAGATTCGTTTTGGATGACTGGAGAAATGTTCTGGATTAAATCAAGTCTTTTTACTGAAGTGCAGCTGTAGATGATACTTGGTTTTGAGACACAAAACAAACGTTCCGAGGCAGCCTTTATTTGAGATGCAATAAAAAAATTGGAAATCAGCTCCATCAGTCATTGCTTGCAGGCATCATTCCTTTGTCTGGATCAACATTTATTTTCTAAAGTTTGTTTCTTGATAGTACTAATATGATTATCCCACTTTTCTATACAACAATAGCAATCCGATTTCAAAGCATATTTGTAAATACCATGGCCTTTCACATTTAAATGTATTTCCTTTCCAGTGTTGCACAGCTGGATCACACACGCATCTTTTCTCTCAAGTAGACTCAGTATGTTATCAAGCTTTGGTTCTCCTAGCTAAGTCTTTATATGAATTGCGTTGCAGAGGTGATCAGGGATTAGAAAACTTCTGGAAGGTTTAAAGTGAGTTGTAACTGTTCTCAGTTACGTTCTGGAGAAATGTCTGATGCCCTAAAGCACCTCGTTAAAGCCTAGCCTCGAGAGTATGCATTTCAGCCAGCCCTGGGGTAAACATCCCACCTTGTTTCCAGCAAACCCACCAGAACGCAGGAGGTGGTGTTTACACCAACACGAGCCGTGGGTGCAGCCTAGCTTACGCTGCCTCCTTGCTCCGGCTACTTGCCTGTTGCATCGCTAGCTACTGTGAGAAGTCTCTCTGGGGAACATCAAGGAGGGCAGCCGTGTCCTGGGACTTCCAGGGGTGTTGGCCTGGGTGCCCGGAGGACAGAAGAGGGTGCCGGAGGAAAGCCCTGCAGGCTAGCTGAGAGAGGGCCAGTCGCAGAGCAGCGGTGAGCAGTTTACCCAGCCTTGTTCCCCTCAACGCTGGGTGAGCACCGCAGGAAAAGTAGAGGGATGCTTGTTCAGCAAGACTTGGTTCAGGTCACAAGATTAGAAATAATGGGTCATGAGCAAAGCAGTGTAAACGACCCTGTTGCACCTTGAGCAAGCGTCTCTGTTTCAGCTGCTGAGCTGTCTTACCTGGGATCCCACCAACGTGTCCTGACTGTTGGGGGTGAGGGTTCACACTGGCTTCTGGGCGCAGCCTCGAGCAGGAAGACACGAGGGAGGCTGGGGACTGATGATCCCCACCTCCATAGGACGGTGCCACGCTCAGCAGACCCTCTGAGTTCCTACCTACAATCTCTCCGTGTAGCATGAACAGGATTAAAAAGCGTCTGCAGCGACCTTGCCACAGACATCCCACTCTGCTCCAGGCACCGCTTCAGTCCTGCCGTTCACCTTCTGCTTCCTGTGAAGAATGAATGCAGAAAGAATTTGCATTGGCCTCAAGAAAGGGATTCGGGGATGCTGGATGGTTCCTACAATTATTAGGGGCTGCATGCCCTGGGATGCTTAAAAACTACGGCAGTACTGCCTCTGCCTGCTCCGGGTCACACTTACCTTTCTGTGGTCCACACAACCACCCAGCCGGACAAGCGTGGTCGGATGAGGTGTGCATGCACAGCTGCACTGTCCGGATTACCCAGGGAATTACCCTGGGCACATGCTGGAGATCAGAGGCAAGCGGTGACAGCGCAGGGACACTGAGCTAGCAGGAACCACCTGTAACTCCCACTAGGAAGAGGGAAAGCACAGAGTAACTAACTCCAGCTGTTCCCTCCTCCTGGGGCTGCAACAGTGCTAGTACAGTGATATCCCACCCGCGACCTGGGGGGCCCTGATGCTCTTCGTAGTCAACGAGAGCTGCTCTCTCTCCTGAACAGAGCACAGGGAGACAAAACCACAAGGCACTACCCAAGCCTCGGGTCTGCAATTATATCTACAGCCTGTAAAAATTAAGGACTGCTGATCTCCAGCCAAGATTTATTGCCACCCTGCTGGGGAAGGGATTCCTTCCCTTTCAGCACAGCTATTCAGGCTGTGCCTCTGGGTAAAGCTTGCCAGTGTTGCTTCAGGATTTAGCGAAACACTTGAGCACAGGCTCAGTTACCTTAAATTAAATCTTATGCTTACATGTGCTGCTAGATCCAGACCTGATGTCCTGCATTGTAATTCCTCAGCTCCCATAGATTTCAGTGAAAGATAAGGACATTGGACACCTTGGAAAATGCATTGTACCTCAAAGACTTGGTCCCCTGCATATGTGGTACTTGGGTTAGCTTCATCCTCATCAGCTGTTTGACTCAGGAGGTGGAGGGTAGTGCTTCTCAGTGATGAAAAACAAGTTGAAGTGAGGCAGAAAAATCTGTGATAAATTAGTGTGGCAAGTGTTAATGGGGCCAAATGTCCTGAGTTGATTGGATTAGGGAAGTCAAACTAATTTTAAAATTATGCCTAGAGAGTGGGAAACTAGGTATTGTTAGCCATTTATCTGACACAACAGAAAAGTCTTAATGGCTGTCATCTCAGCACATTAGGAAAACACTGTCAAAGCTCTTGCTGACAAGATGCTTTCTCAGGGATTATTAATTATATTGCATTATTAGCCAACCACAGTATAAGAACACATTTCGCATGTTAACTAAAGTGCAACGACCATTTAGCTAATAAGTATGACTCGGTCTTTTAAATTTTCTTAATGATTAGCAACTTAGTAAAACTGTTACGCTGAGAGATAAAAATAATGATTCAACAAGCTGTGTCTCGAGAACGAGTTTTAACTGGAACTTGCATGTGGCAAGGACAGATAAAGTGTGCAGTCCTAATTACCAGCCTGATGTGACAAAAGTAAACATATCGGCAGATTTAACCAACTCATATGGCCCCTTCCTGCATTGTCATACATGGTAAAAGCGCCAGCCCAGCGTATCGGCTTAATCCTTCCACCACAGCCCTGGTGAGGACAGGGGTTGCTGCAGCCTTCGGCAGCACCGAGCTGTGCACCCCGCTGCAACCATTAGCAGAATTGATTTGAAACATCCCGGGATGAGCAAAGCATCATCTCCAGGGGAATATACTAATAAATGAAATTATAATAGTAAAATGCATGAAGGCACGTTGTCCGGTTGTGGCCCAAGAAGGTCAGAGAGGGTGCTTGCTGGGAGATCTCAGCCTGGAAGGGGAAGACTGACTTCTCTTCCACACAGCAGCTGCTGCAAGGAAGCACAACCTGAAACTCGGCACCAACCGAGCCCAGAGCGCGTCTCATTAGCCTGCAGGATTCACAGCATGCTGGCAGCAGACTGGGAAAAAAATAAATTATTGGCACGTGAAGTCTGCTAGCTCTGAGGCTCCTGCTTCAAACT